CTGCATCCAGCAGAGCAACAATCCTGGTCCAAACGGCTGAGGTCATGTTGAAGTCGCGGCCGAAAGCAGCACCAGCACCATTGGATGAGCCCGCAGATGACAAGAGAGCCACATCCAGCCAGTACCAGCCGCAGGCAACTGCGCGCTTAGAAGGACATGCATTTGCCTGAATACCAATATACAATGGTGACCAATGCAGACGGGGACGATGTGCCCGGTATCCTCTTTGAAGGTACGGCGTATGAGCTGGAGCTGATATCGGCATCCGACGTTGAGACCATTGCTGGCCAGACTCGTGTCGACAAGAAATTTTCTGATTTTGCGACTCGTGTCAACAAAGTTTGCAGGGGGCATGGATCCTGTGCCAAGGTGCCAATGGACAAAGACCTTTGGATTGACTTGGAGGATTTTGCCAAAGCCTTCCGCAAGGAAGTGCCCCCAGATGTTTTCATCACTGTCGCAAACCTGTTTGGCACCGCAATGAAGATCGACAAGCATGGCAAGAGTAGGTTCCAATTCTTGTGTGCAAAGATCTCCCATTTTCCTGTCGACAATGGCCTAGGCATGCCGTATTATCCTGTGAAAATCCGTGCAATTCAGGGTCACTCCGAAGCTGCCTTGAAAACCGCAGGGGGTCTTTATGCCAATTCAACCATGGTGTATTGCTCAAACCAAGTATCCCCCGAGCGAAAAGCCGCCTTCACTGGCGTGCCCCTGTGTGCCATGACTGAGGTCCCTGAGGTTGTCTTCCATCGCACGATGAGAAGCAGCTGGAAGAGCATCGCACAGAACGGCCTGATCCCAGGTGGCGGTGACACAGTCAACAGTGGCCGTGCTCATATCTACATGGCAGAACACTGTATCGGCACACAGGGGTATCGATCTGGATTAAGAGCAAAATGTCCAATCGAAGTCAAAATCGCAATGCGGCAAGCAGTTGAAGCTGGTGTCATCTTTAGTCGCACAGAAATGGATGGTATTTTGTGTTCAGAACGCATTCCACCGCAGTTTCTGGTCAGCATCTCAGAAGAAGGACAGGTGCTTTGGACCCGCGCCGAGAGCAATCTCGAGCCCAGCTCATGGACAGGCGCGGAATCAGCCTCAGCACCGAAATCCAAAGCGGTCACCCTGACTGCCCGAGATGATGCAAATGACGACCCAATGGATGACACCAGCACGGGGCGACCCGATGCCAAGTCCACTGATGATGATGGAGCCACTGCCCCAATGCAAGTTGACCAGCCGCCCGCAAGGACGCGCCGTGTTTACATTGCACCCAAGTACTGCGAACCTTTCATGGGCTCCTGCCCCCTCTGCCAGGTTGAGTACGTCAGTGGCCAAGTGACATGCACCACATGTGGATATGAACCACTCCCAGTGGACGAAAGTGGCGATACAAAAGAGGCCGACAAACCCAACAGGAGGACACGCATCCTTGAACGGCGAATGCAAAGTCTCGCCGGGTTCGGAATGTTTGGGAAAATGAGCGGAAGCTTGCTGACAGCCTTGACGGATGAGCAAGCCAATCTGCTTCGCCGGGAACTGGGCCCCAGGGGAATCACATCCGTGGAATCAGCAGTCCTCAAAGACTGCCGCGACAGGCATCGACGTGCAAAAGCGCTGGGCTACGAGGACGTGGAAGACAGATACTCCAGCGACGTCACTTTTTGCGACCGCATCCACGGTGAGGGGAAGGACCTGCAGGACTGCATATTCGACGACATGTTCGCATATGGCAACCTCCCCGATCCCCCAAGGACCAAAGCTCAGATCTCGGCTGGCGTCGCCGCCAATGCCCAAAATGAAAACTGCTTATCTAAGTTGATTTTCATGTCCCAGCCTCGAGGTGTTGATGGTTTCCCAGTTGAGTTCCGCAAAACATGGAAGAAGGTCTGGGGATTCATGTTCGGCCGCCACATTTTTACAGAGGATGAATATGTCAGCTACATCGGTCGTCGTGGCGCATTCCGTGGCCTTTTGACCTGGAAGGGCACTGTCCAAGTTCCTTTTGATGGCACTCTTGAATTCCTCGAAAAGGTGTATGAGGAAAATCTTCCATTGGTTCGGGGAAACCTTGAACGCAAAGAGAAGCAGAGCGCCGCTGCAAAGGCTGGAGGTCCTGGAGGTCATAAGGCCGACCCCACGGTCGCGCCCACCACTGAGCGAAAACGCAAAGCCGAAGCTGATGCATCCGTCACCACACATGATGACACTGCCGCCTCAAGCTCTGCTCGCGCAGATGCCTCGCACGCTGATGCCCCAGTTGACCCCAACAATGCACCATTTCTTGCACCCGAACCACCAACACCCAAAGCAGGAGCGCGACCATTCTTGGAGCCTGAGACACCGCCCACTGCAAAAGCAGCAAGCAAAGGAGTCACATCAAAGGCTGCAAGCTCCGGTCGCCCGGATGCCTCCTGGAGTTGGAATCGTGATCACTATGGTGCACGCCGAGAATGGAGTTTCTGGCGTGGGGCTTGGTATTACCGTGACGAGGCCGGCGGCCGGTGGATCTATTGGAACCGCAGGTAGACGATGATTTTCTTTTGTAGCATAGCGCAAGATGCGGCATGGTAATGTGCCTTCCTTGCAAAGCTGCGCTGGGTTTTACGGGCTTGAGCTTTTTAAAGGGACCTTTGAAAGACTGCATAAAAATGATCAAAACCAACTAAAGAAATTTGGCTACCCGCGAGGGTATGCTTTTCTGGGTTATTCGTTCTCCGCAGTCGTCCCTGCTCGCCCGAGGGGGGTGTAAAAAACTCCTGCAGTAAAACCATGTAGTGTATATATCATCGATCTACTCTGTAGCGTTGGTTCAAAAGAGCTGAGTGCTTACCGGTTTGTTGCGCCCCCATATAGTAATTGTACTATATTGTTGGCTGACCTGGTAAAATACAGTTTGTGAAGGATTCTGCCTTCACAAAGTCCAGTTTGTGATGGACGAATTATTCAAACCCTTATACATAGAGCAACCCCCCTCACCCCAAATATCAATGTTATTTTCTTGTTTGGTTCGTTCCTTCGAATGGACGAAATAAATCAAACCCCCAGAGCAGGAACAGCGCTACGAAACCATAACATTGAAATTCGGGGGAGGTAGGGGGTGGCCTATAACTCATGGATAGGGGTTTGAATAATTTGTCCATCTACTGTATGGCATGCACTTTCGTTTTGTCATGGTGGCCATGGCAAGTGCTTGTTGGAGGTTGTGGCAGTGGTGGTAACTGGCTGCCACATGGGTCATTACCTCCACCTCATTGCTTCCCATGGCCACACCATGGCTGGCATTCAAGGCCTGTTGCACCATGCATGGAAGGTCTGGGAAGCAATCCTCCACACAGGCTTGGAGAATGCTCCATTTCCACCCAGTGGTGCACATCTTCTGGAACACTGTGGCTGGTTGGCCTTGTGTGAATGCTTCTATGGACATGGTTCCATTGCGCATGGCCATGAGCTCCTGGTGTTCTGTGTTGGCATTGTGGAAAACAGCTTTGCAAAACTGGCTAAGGTGGCTGGACCCCAGTGACAGGTACTTGGATGACCGGCTTGGTTGCTATCTAGATGGTGCTACTTAAGCTATATTATAAGTTGCTCACTAACATGTTCTAACCTAGGTTATATATTGGGTTAACATATGTTAAGTTCACCGGGCTTACTTACTATGTTGACGCTCTTGTGCTATGTAGATAGTATGTTGGCTATTTAGTTGCGGCCTACTTAGACAACTTTTTGGTAAGTTCGCCATGTTAACTTAGAGTACTTACTAAACACATAGCCTACATACATATCTTGACTATTTAAGTTAACAAGTTAAATATTTAACTTACTAAGTACGCGGGGGCCTACTTACTAAGTACGCGGGGGCCTACTTACTAAGTATGCCGGGGGCCTACTTACTAAGTACGCCGGGGCCTACTTACTAAGTACGCCGGGGCCTACTTACTAAGTATGCCGGGGCCTACTTACTAAGTACGCAGGGGCCTATTACTAAGTACGCCGGGACCTACTTACTAAGTACGCAGGGGCCTTGTTGAGATGCGCGTTTGGGTCGGTGCGCAAGTGCATGAGCTCGCTTCGCAACGGTGATATCATTTTTGTCGAATTTGAATATCGTTTAGAGAGGTTTTGCTTTTCACTATGATTTACAATCTTAAGGTTGGACTGTTATTTGAGCAGCGTTTTGGTTCGCTTACATGCGTAATCATATGCAAGCGTGTGTGAAATACAAGACGGGTCACATCATCCCTTATATGCGTTAGCTTTGGTTTTCGGTTTCTACATGTCAAGCGCCTCCCACTTGGACAGGAACATGTGGAAAATTTTGCTCAATCATGTTTGAAGATTGGATAGGAAAAACATTTTTGCCTGTTTTGTCAATTTGGTTTTGTGTACTTGGGGTGGTTGATGCGTCAGAAAAGAACAAGCAGTTGGGTTAAACTACTCGCTGCTGCTTTCAAAATGTGCTGGCATGGGTCTCGCTTCGAAATAGCGTGCAAAACATCAAACTCAATTTTTATGAGTCATATTGGAAAAAATAGCAGCAACTCATCATGCGGGTTCATGTCCTGAAGTGTTTTTGGAAGGGATGTTTGGTCAACGAAAGAATCTGAGGCCTCATGGAACGCCAGAAGCAAGATACGCAAAAGTGAAATTTGTTTTGAACAAACTTTGGAACGCCAAATCTCTCACAATGCCTTTTTGTTTTTGACTTTGTGAATTCAGTGGACGCGTTCACCAAACCGACATGTTTGAGACCATGTTTGATTTCATGCTTGCTGAGTTGCGCATGTGAAGTCACCGTCTTGGCCTCTTGAACATGTGAGTTTCAGTTGCCATGCTTGTGAATTCAGAAAAACTACTGCAACTGTCAATGACTGATGTTGCCAACCAAACTGACAGATTGCGTGAAGAACCTTGCCGTTCCCTGACTGAAGTGGCTCAAAGAGTTTGGGCAGACACAGTGTCAAAACTTAGACACAAACTGAGTAATCACTGCCGTGATGATGACGGGTCATGGAGCTCCAGTTGACATGTTTGAAAGTCAGCTTGATGAGTCTATGGTGTGTATGGAATACTGCCTCCTCAAGAAGCCTGACGAACTCCCAAAAGCCAAGAACTTCGTGAATTTGTGGCCGGGGCAGTATGGACGAGTCTTGGCCTGTGACGACATCTTCATGGCCAAGTTCTCACAAGGAGGTGGCAGCGCATGCAAGTACCAGTATATGGAGAGGAAGGAATGGAAAGGCAAACCGTTGCTGGTGTATGCTCATTGCCAGAATAGATTCCCATACGTTGGTGTCTTGATCCACGAATTTCGACCGAAGATCGTGGTGGAGCAAGGGATATGCACTCGAGATGATGGCTTGGTGCATGCAGTTTCATGGCGCTACAGCAGCTCAGGGGAGCACATCTGCACCAAGTTCTTCTACGCCAACGTTTCTTGCAAAAGGTTTGATAATTTTTCACTGTTGAAGTTCAAAGTTTTTTTTAGTCACATGTCCCATGTCACAGTTGGGAAAGTAACATATAGTGAATGTCTCGGATTTGGTGCGAGGATCGCATTACGCAGGGGAATGCCTTGAAATACTGTTTGGACCACCTCGTCCAAAACGGGGTCACCACATCGGTGACAGAATGCGTGCTGTCGGTGCCCTTTCAACCGAACCAGCTCTTATTCAAGCCCGACTATACGCACAGTCAGACGATTTTTGCGGAGAGCGAGTCTGTCCGGCCTTGGGGCATTGTTGATCAAGATTCCATTGGCAGTGGCTCGGTTTTGTAGATCGCTCAAGTCGAATCTGTGCAGGTTTTGATCAGGTTAACGCATCCATGAGTTTTCCAATCCTGCCAAAGACAAAGAACATATATTTGATTATGGGTTTGAAAATAAAAAGCTAAACCGAAGATGGAGATGAAGCCAATGGTTTAGATCCATTGATGAAGGCTGATTAGTTTGCTGTTTGAAGCGGGCATCATCCAACACGTGATTCGACGCACGTTTCCTTTCAAGAGTTCCTGTTCTCATGAGGTTGGGTTAAGCAAACGGTCAGTTGGTGCTATCCTTAAAAACGTGCAGGTCGCTTTTTCAATGCCTATGGATGGTGCGAGTGATGGGCTTTCAGATTGACTCTTGCAGCCGTCCACCTCAAAACGCCAGGAGGTCTGCCAGAGCTAGGTTTTTGATGTGGCAACGCGTTGTTCGCCAGATTTCCATTGCAATCAGCCGTCAAAAAAATGGATAGCATACTGGGTGCAGTTTGCTTTTCTTGATGCAGCATGGACAGCATACTCAGTTCAGTTTGGTTTACTTGCTTGCTGCAGCATTCGCAAAATTCTACGGTTGTCCATGTGTCTAAAAGTTAGAGGCCAAGATGAGTTTCAAGCAGATCTGTTCCTGCATGCTGTGCACGCTTGCACGCATGCATGATCTCCCACTTCATCACTGCAGCCATGCTAGCTCACACACTCAAACTCTCAGATGCATGCTTTATATCACATGAAATAGAGATGCTTTGTGTGATTTTGTCAGGCATGTTATGTGATGTGGGCAGTGGCAAATCCTGTCATCAAGGCATTTCCACATTCAACAACGGAACATACACACTATAAGTACGGCTTTGCAAAAATGCGTCATATATAGTCAGGTCTGTGCTGGGAAATCGAGGTTCTGAGCAATGAACCAGGCGCAGAAAGACCAGATCCAGAAGTACATTCAGGCCGCCGCGAATGAAGGCATGATGGCGATCTCCAAGAAGGTTTTGGACTACTTGGAGCAGGAGACTCTGAGCTACGTTCAGAGGATTAAATGCATCCACCTTGGGGTCCACCATGAAAACAGAGGCGGAATAGGAATTGACTTGAACCATATGGTGGATCTTGTGAAGAACATCTCAGCTGTGGGGTACGTGGATGACATCTCCACACGCGTTTGCATCGAGTTGGATGGTTCACCAGCCTCGGAGTGCACAAGGCAGGGCGAAGTTTGTTCATGTAGCTCATCCCTCACCACCCTCACCGTTCTTATTCCGTTTGATGATGAAAAAAGTAGATGGTATGGGATGCATGACTGATCTAGCCTTTCAAATTTGACAATCTTGCAAGTCACCAAACGTAATGTGCTACCTTGGTTCCCTGGGTCCTCTATAAGGTAGGTTTGGGTTATTGAAGACAGAAATAAAACAAAAATAGAGTTGATACTGCAACGCTGTTGCCTTTTGTTTTCCTGGGTTTTCCATGTGTTTCCTTTTTTTTCCCTAATTTTTCTTAAAGATTGCACGCCAAGTATCACGGTGGTATCACGGTGGAACACAATGGAGTACCACAAACTTTGTCAGAAAAAAACATGTTTTTTTCTCTCTTCACGTTTTGCATATCGCAAAGGACAACGCATTCCAAACGATGGTTTACGTAAAACAAAACTCCAGAAATTATAGTTAATTCAATAATACATGATATATTTTTCTTTTAATTTTTATATGTTTATATAATTTTATTTTATTTTATTGATATGCTTTCCTCCTGGCAAGAGCAAAAGAGAGGACATATGTCAAAGTTTTGTGTCAATTGTCACAAGTAAGCACAAGTGAACATGTGTCTGTATACCCTGGCCTCGAAACATTGCCATCCAACCTCAGGTGAAGCAAGTGGAGTTGGAATTATGTTATCTAAGATTTTGCATATTCTCGTAGCATTTACAAACACAAGTATCAAACAAATTCCTGAGTTTCGCCTGCAAGGACAACTGTTTTTACCCAAGAACCCTATGATGAGATCAAACACATGATGCTTGACATGTGTTGAAAATCTAATTTGCAGTGGTTGCCAAAGATTGGGGAGACAGAAGTTCTCCATGTAGTGCAACACACTGCATGCAGGCAGCTGGCACAAGTGTGAGACAAAAGTCACTCACACATGACGCAGCCGCAGAAACTCCGATGCAAAAGTCTGGGCAACACTTGACCCAAATTGTGGAGTGTAGCTACCTGACTCCTCTAGCAGGTCCTTCCTCCCGGTGAAACTTCGGCCATCTTCACTTCGAGTCACCAGTTGCTCACCTGACAATTGTTCCCTGGCTGGACAATCTCTGGACAGTTGATTGAAGCACACTCTGTTTGTCCATATCTGCAGCGGCTTCTGAGTGGGGCCAGCAAATGCTCCAAGATAAGTCTTCACACGATGAGCCTTCACAAATGACAACACTGACCTCACAGGAAGACACTTGTGCAAACACGAGTTGTCCGGCTGCTCCAAGCAGACCATGATGCCAATGACACACGACACAAGGAACATCATGGCTGCTACCTGCATGTGGCTATTGCCAATCCTGACAAATGTCTTCGTGGTGTCTCCCCACCACTGGTTCCAGCCATACCTTTGGCTTTGCGCCAGACATAATATGACAAATGAAGAACAAGGTGGTCCAAGCCAACAAAGACCATGTTCACATATGCTCATGAGCATATCCATCCAGAGACGAAGGCCACATGTGTCGAGACAACTGTGCATATGTGAATGGATGATGTCGAACCCAGCTCCTTCAAAGCCTGCTTTGATCATCTCCTTGGTCAAGTTGGCTGCGCCACACCAGTACTCAACAAAGTGGTGGAGATGATGTGAACACTGGAGCCTGTTGGCAAAAGCACGCTGGCACAGGAGTGACAGCTTCATCGCAAGGTCTGTAACTGGTCGCAGACATGGGTACAGTGAGTCCAGGAGAGGTGGCCACATCTTGATCGCATTCCCACCAGACACATGAAGATCATGTGCCAAGAACCGAGAAAAGGTCTCCATCAGGAACGACGACATTTGTGCACACCTGCAGCAGTCAGGGTGGGCAGCCAGGATAGTTTTGAAGACACTACTAAGTACTACTAAGAAACTAAGACACTACTAAGTTTCTTTGTTACGTTTGTTATTATTCAACAACATGATTATCAACCCTGGCCTGTTGAAGGAAGAGTAGGGCCAGGCATCCTCATAGCCAAATGCAAGAGCTTTAGCACATTTGTCCACAAATGGGTCAATTGGCAAATCAGTGGCAGCTGCAGCTGCTGCATTGACACTTGTTGCCTCATGCATTTCAGTGACACCTGATGCCTCAGTGCCAGTGCCAGAAGAGCCAGCATCATCATGGACATATTTCTTGGTAGCAGCTTCGTCCACCTCTTTGTTTTGCTGACACTTGTTCTTCTTCTGACACTTGTTCTTCTTCGGAGGTGCAAAGCAGAGAAATGGAAGAAAGGGCCACATCATAGTCCGCTGCTGCTGCTGGCGCCTTTCTGCAACTGCAATTGATTTCCCCATGGCCACTTCAGTGGAGGAGTGAAATTTATACCCAAGATAATAGTCAGTGATCAGTGACCAGTATCCAGTGGAATTTCGAAAATTATGCCATGATTTGATATAACATGGTTTTTTCAACATGAATACAACTACATAGTTGTTTGAAACAGTTTGACATATTCACATAAAAAGCTGCGGGCATGAAACTCAATCTTAAAACAAGTCCAAGACAAGACAAATTCACTCAAAGTCTTGTGCATTCATTCATTCAAACTTGAGGCATTTTTTTAAGCGCAGCAGCATACATGTGCAAGCCATTGCAACACACTTGTTCAAGGACGCTTAGGATACTTAGTAGGAGGAGGCATCTGTGCAATGACCTCTCTTATCACAGCAAGCATGCTGTCTGAGACATGTCCAGGCTGCTGCGCTTGATTCGGATCATCGAGTTCAAAGCCAGGCAAATGTTTTGCCAAATCCCAGCGCTCCCAAGCTTCCTGATGCAACTGCTTCAGTGCCTCTTCCCAGGACATATGTTGAAACGCCTTGGAGCGAGATCCACCTGGTCCATAAGCAGCCCACACTTGTCCCTCTCGAGGCTTGATCTTAAACTTTATGGTGAAGCGGTGGGCCTTTTGGTCCAAGCCAAATGACATTCCTGGAGGTGCCAATCTCTGAAGGATTGCAGGTGTGAAGTGCTCTCTTGGCGACACAAGTACCACATGACGCCTCCTCCCTGCTTCAGCTGCAGCAGGTTCTGCTGGAGGTCCTGCTGCAGGCTCTGCTACAGCCTCTGCTAACGGAGCAGGACCTGCAGCAGGCCCAGCTGCAGCATCAGACACTTCTTCCTCATCCAGCTCCATGTGCAGCGGCTGATTTTCCTCATGTTCCTCCATGTGCGGCGACTGATGTTCTTCATGTTCCTCCATGTGCGGCGACTGATGTTCCTCATGTTGCTCCATGTGCGGCGACTCATGTTCCTCATGTTCCTCCATGTCCGGGGACTGATGTTCCTCATGTTGCTCCATGTGCGGCGAATGTTCCTCATGTTCCTCAGCGACTTCGGGAAGCAGTGCTAAGGGCACAGGCTCAGAAACAGATGGTGCTGGAGGTGGCGCTGGTGCTGACACCTGTTCTGGACGATCGCTGGATTGAGGCTGAACTCCACGGCCTCTGCCTTTGCCTCTGGCTCTGCCTCGTCCTCGTCCCCGACCTCCTCGGCCTCGACCAAATGCTTTGCGAGAGGCAATCTTCTTCTTCTTTTCCTCCTTCTCCTTAGACGAGAATGTTTGAAATTAGTTATTTCTAAAGCTTTCTATTTCACTTCATTTTGACTAATTAATTTGAGAAATCTAGTCAGCAACCAAGATTCATTTTTTTCTCCTCCTTAATATCTGCCCACTTCCTCTTCATAGCAGTTCGAGGATTGACAAATGTCTTGATGTCGCTAAACTCTTGTGCTTCATCCTTATCCAGCCCCTCCAGCAATGATGCAGCTAG